GGATGGTAGTAATAATGAGATGTGACAGTAGAAAAAAATGCCTTTTTTGGGGTAAGGTATAACAATATGGTACTTATTACAGGCCTTACCACACATGCACTTTGAAATAGAACGCACCTATACACATTATGAGAGGACCGAATGCTAGTGGTGGTTGTGGTCATATTTACTATCTGGTGTTTGTTTTATATACTGGTTCACTGGGTTTGGTGAATGTCAAACTGGTTTCATATTTACATCACCTGCTTATATTTGCTTAACAATAAACGTGCTACATAGGAACAGGGAGAGTGTAAGAGAATGGGAACACCTGATGAAGTTTGCCTACATGGCATGATCCTATTACAAATAAGAGGAGCGGCAGACCGCAACATTTTAAAGGTAAAGACCAGTATTGGAAACGCCCCAATTTCAAAAAATGAAATGGAAGCTCTTATTACCAATCATGTGGAAGAATATGTTTTGACTAATACATGATGATACAAATTTTGCCGGGAAACCGCCTACTAATTGATATATTTGGTAAATTAGTTTATCTACATGGTCTGTGAGAGATGGACACACGTGTCGCGCACGTGAGCGTATAGTCCCACATACATCTTTCTGTGTACAGTGCTTGTAACTTTACGAAGACTGGGCCAATTTTTTTATCATTTTGATGATTCCAGAACCTTGCAGTACACACCAATACTTATATGCTACATGTTCAACCTTTTCTGATCGATTCCACAACGTTTCTTTCACAACGCAATCGCATGATCATAACTGGTCTTTACCTTATTGTACATTGGTGTGCTGAATCGTGATGATACTAAACAAAATTCTCGTTGTTTTACCGGATATGTGGTGGTGTACTAATGTATCCGCATGTTTGCTTTTGGTCAGTTTACTTCAGCGGCCCTAGTTGTGGACTATCTACTTCCCCCAATCGCATATGCTAGACAAAATATTGATAAACAAAGTCATTGAAATTTCATATGAAATACAACCTCTTCAAATACATCTATAAACATTTCCATTTTGAACAAACATCGATTTCAAAAAATCAAAGCTTTATCAATAAAATAAAAAGTAGACTTGAGAGCTACTTGAATGTATCAAACAGTCCTTTGGTTCGAATGGTGTTCATATCACTTTCCTTCTGCAATAAATTAACCCATGAGAATGGGATGATTTTCTGATAATTTTACCTTCATCGTTCAACACACAAAAAGAGAATGTATAAGTGTGGCAAATTAGGAGCTATATAATTGGTTGGCAAACCAAACCTCTCTTTTCGCAAACCTAGACGAAGAATGTTTACACCAGTTACACCGATGAAACCGACAGCAGACCTCACATGGCTGAGAATCGTCGGTGTGGGGTCGGTATGGTGGTGTGACCGTGGCATCATGAAAGTGGAATTTAATAATTTACCACCAAACAAACAACAGTGAATTCAGATTCTTTTTTCATCAAGGGTAGTTATACGAGGGCTTCATTCGTATCGGCATATACGAATGACAAATGCACCAATTTATTGTAAATCACCCGTTCGTCGCTATCAAATTTTCCTGTGGAAAAAAAATAAGCGGAAAGTTGTTGTTCTGGCGGTTGAGTGGATGAGGTATTAGTACCCAAACCGTAATGAATGCCTATCGCTTGTATGATACAAACATCATTCCCTGAAAGTAAAAGATTTTACATTAGTCATGTGAAATTGCTGACTGGCGCCACTCACTCTTCTAGTCCACTCTACATGTCATGAAAGCACACATTTGTATAATAATACCCTCCACGGACGAATCGTGCAGTGATGTATCGCTATTAATGACCTTCTTTTTATCTAAGCATGATCAGGACTGGCGGAGCTAGAGACGATGTTACGAATTCAAAGAAAATAAAAGTGAATGACGTGAAAGAAGAATAATTCATGGATAATTTGTTAGAATGTTAACCACGAAAATGCATGTGCGTGTGTGTCTTGGGGCTGAGTTTCTGCATTGATAATCTCACATTTCACAACTTAGGCAGGGCAAAAAATGAAAAAGAGACAAGGACAAAAAGCGTCATGGAAAGTATTAGGTTTCCTTTGTGAATTTGTGCAGAATGACAACTCCAACCCAATCTGTGTGGATATCATTTGCTTTCCGGGTTTAATTCCCTTCACCTTTAGGCTGTCCGTACCCTTTCACGGACTCCTATCCCTGGAGACTTCTCCAAGACCGATTGAATTGCCTAAAAACGTTTTCTTGATTCTGCTAACTCTTCTGGCTTCCCCCTAAATCAAACACGCATTTCGTTTTTTCCGTTGAGAATTGAAGTTGATGGGATCTATTTGGAAATAATTCGGTAGGTTGACACAAGAAAAACAATTGTTCACATTCGCCTCTTTAGGAGGAGAAATAAAACCTGAGGTTATGATTTGGACACACACACACACACACACACACACACACAAATGATTGTATATGTTAAGGTTTTCTACAAACAGCTTTGTATACCTAACGCAAAACAAATTTACCTTTATATCGTCCTATATCAATATTCCCAATAGTTGTTACTTTTCATAATTTGTTTGGTGGATTGATATTTTTCTGCTCTTTTGTCTCCTTTTCTCTCAATGTTCATCTGTGTAGCTGCCTCTCTCCATCTATCTATATTTTACTATATTTGACTGATTATCTCTCTCTCTTTCTCTTTCTCTATTGTCACATGAGAGAACATCATCGGGGGAGTAAGAAGTGCGACATAATTTTGATCGTGTCTATGGAAACGAAATAAATTTCAGAGTTGTATTAGTTGTCCTTCTTTCATATTTGAATATTTTGCAGTGACATTCCCGACTAAAAGCTAAGGGACCTTATAACTTAAAACGCATTTTTTATTATCTATTATTTATTCTCTATCCCTCTCCATTTCTCCATTTCTCTCTCTCTCTCTCTCTATTCCTCTCTCTCTCTCTCTCTCTCTCTCTATCTTTCTCTCACTCTCTCTCTCACACATCCACACACTCACTTTCTCAGTCTCCCGTTCTCTTTATCTCTACACTGTCCACCTTTTTATGTCCTCGTCACCTGCTCTTCTCCGAGACACCATCCTCCCAATATTGTCTCCTTCTTTTGATTGATGTTTTGACGTCATGTTCTCAGATAGAGCATACACTTAATTAATATTAATTCAAAAAATGTCATGCATGTCTCTAATCTCATACTCCGGCATCATCGCTAAAACAAACAGTCCTGGAGAAAGAAAAAAGTTCGTGCCATGCTCTCATTAATCAAAATGTAAGAATTATCCCTTTTGTGATAAACGTCCATTCAATTTGTTGACTGCTAGATTGCTTATGATCTGTGGCCTGTAAAATCATCAACTCTGACGCACAACCATTTCTATTGTATGCAATACATGAGAGACATGTCCTTCTCAATGCATGACGCGCAGAAAGTAGGACAGACAAGACATTTGGTTATTTTTAACGCAGGTCATCAGCGACTGACGGAAAGCTATTTCACATGCGTGCATAAAGGCAAACTGTTAATTAATAATCACCTGATAGGAAAATGATGAAAGCAGCCATTTGAGATTTATTTTCCTCCACATGTGGTTACGCCATGTTTATTCTCCTCGAAATTGACTATTTCGGAGTGTTTTCTATCCTCCCCGGGAAAGCCAGGCTCGTACTAATGGGGTCTTATTTCTAGAATCACTTATCCGTGTGGTGTGTCCTTAAAGACATCCTCATTATCAAGGAATTATGGTGGCAGCCTTGACAAAGAGAGTTGAATTCGCCATCTTGACGAGCATAGCTTCTCATCACCCTGCCATCATAGCGAGATGTCATTCCAAACTGATTTCAATCTCTCACTTGCCCCTTCTTTTTTTCACTGATTCTGTTTTTTATTGAGGTTGATTACAGGCTGATTGCGTTCAATCTGTTTGCCATTAACTCTGTCGTCTTCCTATAATGTCATTCTCAACACAATCTCCACATGTCTTGTCTAATATGAGATAACATGAAAAATTCATTTCAAATTGTAGCGTGCTCGGTCTAGTAATCAAGAGCAGAACGTCGAATGAGACTGTTTTGTATAATGTTTGACATTCTGAAATCTTGATTAATAAGGAAAAACTAATATTTTAGATAGTGTAGAAACGCAATGAATAGTTTAATGTCTTTATTTGAAACCCAGCCATGGACTGACATTTGTGTTACTGCCCGTGTACACTTTATTTAGCTTTTTACATATTTCAATAAAGTTGGTTAGGTTTAAATGAAATCCAGAAGTGGATCTAGGATGAGCGTACAAACTCGTCGGATTAACGGATATCATTACAAATAAAGACCATACCAAACATGTAAGAAACTCATAATGAAATATTTAATTCCGTATTTTTGCAGCGAGGATATGGATTGATAAATGTCACAGTGTCATCATAATTGAAATTAGTAATTTATTTTGTAGTACAGTAATTTGAAATCGGTCTTGAGAAAAAAAATTGAGTTAAGCTTAACTATAATGTATTAAAATGTAATACTTGTTTGTCTTCTTTTTTCATTATTATTTTTGAAAACATTAAAACTTGTTTATAAAAATTTAATATTTTTCAATGTACATATCAATTATCAATAAAGTTCGGTTTAAAAATGTTAAAATGTAGACGTTAGAATCAAGAATAGGTTTAATGCACGTTTTCATCTGAAGGTTCACTTAATAAATTGTTAACATGGTGAGGTTGGAATTACTTTGGGTATTGTTGTTTCTTTCTCCTACTGCAGATCGCCACATCTGTGAATTCATCAATCATTGGAGATGTATGTCGTTGTTTACACAGAAGGCTAATGCAGGCTTAGGCCATGACTTTGCTCTGGCTACTCGGACCCTTGGGAAGCAAGAGATAGTTTGTTAGTAGAGAGATACCTCTTCATGGCTCATGTTTATTTGATTTTTCCCAGGAGTCTGTCCGGCTGGAAGCATACGAGACGGGTTTGGTGTCTTATCATGATCAAGAGGCTTTGGCTAAGATGAAGGGTATGTTGACAGGACCTTGGGTTGGTCCGCTGCAACCTACAAGATATAGGAGTCATGGGCTCATCCACTCGCACTGCAGTATTCCTCCAAATATAGTATTCTCCCTATCAAATCATTTCCATGCATCTATTAAATGAAGTGGGGCTCATGGAAAATATTGGGTGCAATCAAATACATTCCAACTGAACAAATCCCAGTGGCACAGGCAAGTACATTGATATGCATATGGAATCAACATTGTTTCAAATATATCTACTGGCACATCTGGCACTGTTTTTGTCGTGCGCTTAACCATAGAAGAGCTTCTTGTCTACAATGATTCACATTTATGCAACATATAAAGAATGCGTTTTAAGTTATAAGGACCCTTAGCTTCTTCAGTCGGGAATGTTCTGCAAAATATTCAAATATGAAAGAAGGACAACCGATACAACTATGACATTTCTTTTGTTTCCATGGACACCATCATATATCGCACTTTTCACCCTCCCGATGATTTTTCTCATGTGAAACCGAAACCCCTAGGAGATATACAATATCAATCAAACTTTCAAGCTGCGATATATCCTGAATAGAGTACTAGAAACGCTGTTTATAAAAAAAGTTCCACGTTATAAATACACTAATTAGCAATTTACTAAACACGGGCAATTCAGCAATATGAAGCAATTACGGAACATAGTCATGCGAGATGTATAACTCACTCAGTGGAAAATTACATATTGACAAGACGGCATTTAAATTGTAATTGCAAATATAATACAAATTTGTTTTCGCAACAAAACTTATGGCAGTACAAAATGTAGTATAACTTTTTATTAAAACTGCATGTTTTTGAACTCGTTAAGGTTCAAAAGTATTTGATTTCCTCTTCGCCCTCTTCACATTTCTCCCTTATCTCGTTTGTAAAAGTAAGCCTCCCTATCAAATTAATGTTTGCTTTCAAGCCTCTGAAATAGAAAACCACGGACATGTGCAAATATTGATCGAAAATCTCCGGTATGAGATGGGAAACAAGACCATTCAGACGCCATTAATAGCGTTCTCTAGTGCCTACCGCTCATTAATTGATTTATCTCCTACGTACCTAGCTGTAAATTTGGTTCTTCTCCCACGGTTCTTCAAGGTGACATTTGGGTGATAAAAAGTCTGGTTAACATCGAATTCATCACGAAATGGAAAAAAATTATAAAAACAGGTAGCTGAAGACAATTGGTTCATATCTACTGATGATAGAACACACCTATAACGCAAATACTAGACAATTTTTTTTATTCATATCACTCACTTGAATTAAAAAGCAAACGAGAACGTAAAAACGTAGTTATATGATTTTAAAAAATGTATAGTATTTGCGTAAAATGTTATATCTGTTTTTGGCCTGCACCCCTACAATGAATCGCACCATGTAGAACCACTTCCATGAAGTGAAATAAGGATTTTGTAAAGGATAGTGATAAGCGTTGAGAAAATTAATAGGTGTGCGGGGACATATGAAAACACTATGCATATAAATACAATTATATCAATCACTTACTGATTATATTAAAGATTTTACGAAACATCATCATAATTCCATAGCGTGTATTTAGTTTTATCAACCACATAACATTATATTGATGGACCTCCTTATTGATTTAAGGGACAAGGACAAAGACATCAAGTGCAAATGATAAACTAAACTAAACTTTAGTTCAATTATTGAATCTCTGGTAATTGAACTCCTTGTGAAATCTGGCCAGGTTTTGGTATTATAAAACTAATGAAATCCCTATCAAATCATGTACTAATAATTGTCACATGGCTGTACTTCTGTATTAAGCGACTGGTTTCAGGTTTGGGAAATAATCGCGTGATTGTGAACCATCAGACTACGCCAAGGGGTTTTCACCACAAAATCCACCAGTATTTATATACCATGCATGCTATAAATATCTCTGGTCTAAGGGAGCCGTGAAGCCTACAGCTATACAGTCCCAGACTTGGGAGAAGATATCCTCTTAAGTCGGAGGATTATATGTGTCACAGCATCGCCTAAGTGTTTTGGAACGGAGAGTTTTCAATCGTAGATACTAATTTCTATCACATGGAAAGCTTATGTAAAATGTTTCAGATTTCCTTTAAAACCCTTACAATGTATGAAAAGTACTTAATGATGAGCAAAGGCCGATAGCTACTAGAAATTAAGTAATATATGATCCGTCGTAGACATTAGCTTTGGCTCACCGTGAACAAAAAAAGATGATTTACTGAATTAAAAAGGAGTTCTTATTAAGGTTTAGGTAAAATCTCATGTTAAAATTAAACTAAATTAATGCATTTCGAATTGTAGTGTTCAATATAAGCAATGAAACGTAATAACCGTCCTGAAACCAGCCGTCCACTGTGCCAGTACACGCATGGCAAATATATTCGATGATGTTACCTTCTGGTTACTAACAAGAAATGCAAGACACAATTTATTCATTGCATGTGCATTAATTTCTCCTTTTTTGTCTTTAACAATTTCCTATCAAACGTTTACAATGTACGTGTGCTTGGTTAATAATTAAAATCCTTATTGATATGTATAGTGCTTTTAAGACAATTTCGGCACATGAATATTTGAACCAATAAGCTCTCACCATACCCGCTTTATTCTAGATTTAAATTGCTTAGATATTTCTTGTACCATCATATTCACATGCAGGCATAGCCCCGTGATTTATTGAATACATAATTGACCACTAAAATGGGATGTAGAATATGAAATTAAAACAGCTATAAGAATTTAAAGGGAAATCAAGTTATTACCTCTTTATTTCAAAGAGGGTCATTTTTCCTTAAAACTACGGGATCACATTGGCAACATATGATTTTGTTAAAGTGAATTTACATATATAGCATAGAAATATAAGATCAATTATATAGGATTAATTTATATATATATATATATATATATATATATGAACATAATATTTGACGGGATATGTATACGATGATGGGGAAGGAGAGTGCACTACTCTCGACTGTCTGTTGATGCAGATACGTTGTATTATATCACAGTCTGCTCCCAGTAAACTAATGAAATCAATTGAATCGTTTACAAACTGCGATCCCCTGTTCAGGGGCTCTTGATAAAATACAAAACTTTTCAGGATATCCACAATCTACGACGACCTAACTATGAAGTCCATTTGAAAACCCTAATACCGCAGTTTCTATTTTTATTTCCTGTTTTCCGGCTCCCTCGGTGAATTAAAGAATTCAATATTGTGGTGAGAGATTACATTCAGTTGAGAAGGAAGGAGAAATCGATCGTACGAGCCTGAATAGGCAAATGATAGAACAGGTTTTGAACAAAAGAACAATACGAAACAAAGGGGGAATGCACGGAATAATACATAACAGATATCTGATTTTCATTTAATTGTCTCAAAGAGGAGTAAAAATGGAGAGAGCAGGAGGCGGAGAAGAAGATAGAGGGGAGAAGAGAAATTGAAAAGGGTGTATTTCTCCCTGAGGCCCTGTAGAAGGGATATTTCATTGGGATCATGGGTGTTCTTGGACAGATCCCCATATCACATGTCGGAAGTCTCCGGGATTGATTCAATTCCTTCCAAGGCACATGGTAAATACTGTTCTACATGCAGCCGCTAAATCGATATGCACCAAGGTACCATGCCATATGTGCATGCCAGCTACTAAGACGCATTTCATATATCGCTTTTATTTGTCGACATGTTACTCTTATCCATCACTAAGAAATTAAAGCGTCCCGACAAACAAAGGGATTGAATTCATTCGTTATCAAATACTAATTAATATTACACTTTTGATTCATACAAATGAAAGCTAAATATTGATGTTATAACAGTTATTTGAAGTATATGCGAATGCTCATCTTTGGATCTATATATTCAATATAGAAAATGAATTGTCTAAAGAACGTAATAAAAGTTAGGAGAGGCAATTTTTATTTTCAAAATTAATATTTACACTAATGATTATTCATGTAATTATTGGGATTATTTTGGTGATCATAAATATGGATACGAACACAAAAATTATTTCTGTCATTATCAACATACTAATAACCACCATCATCACCATCATCATCATCACAGTTATGACCATATTGTTTGAAGCTCTTAGCTCATGCAGCATGTACAGACTATCACAATCATCCAGTGGAATAGATGGATACAATGCCCTTCAGTCTATACCCTCCTCCTCTTTTTCTTGGGGGCAATTATTTGCAACTGATGAATTGTAAGCATGAGGGGTAATTTAATCTTCCTTTTTTTTCCAAGATCAATTATGTCCTTACTTTATCATCGTAGCCTCCATGTGGTGATGACATTCTACCATGCTCTAAGAAGAAGCAGCCTGCACAGCCGAGACAACACCGGGTCTATCGACTGATTATCGACTAACTTTTATACATTCCATTTACTTTTGTTCAGGCGTTTAAAAAAAAAATCAGCGTCTATAAGTTGCATTACACCAAATACGGTTTTCTGATCCATTTACTCATAACCACTATCAGTAGATGTTGTGGTTTGTTTAATTCCTTTTCATGATTGAAAATGAAAATCATTTACTTATGAAAGCCAAACGGCAACGCTTCCCAGGTAAATAAATGATTATTTTGCAGCCTTATCAATGACGTTTACTATTTAAGTGAAATGAGATTGTTTGTTTCCATCAAATGCACTCTGATTGCTTACGGCTGATCACGTGACTACTTAAAAATGTGAAAGTGGAGGTAGGGTTACACCAGCTAACATACCCCCAGACGACCATTTCTCTTGCACCTCCCTTTATCTCTATCTCTCTCTCTCTCTTTTCCTCTCTATCTCACTTTTTATGTCTCCACCTTCTCTTCCCTCCCCTCTCTCTCTTTCTCTCTCACTTTCTCACTCCCTATCATTGTTTATTATTCTCTTTCTTTAAATCACCCTCTCTTTGTCTCCCCTCTTTCTCCATTTTATCTCTATTTCTATTTATCATTAGCTCTCATACTCTTTTCTAAATATTTCCACCATCCCTCTTTTTCCACTCTTCCCCTCTCTCTCCCTCTTTTTCTCTCCCTCTCTCTCTCTCTCCTCTTCATCCATATTTATCTTCTCTCTCTCTCTCTCTTCCCCTCACCATCCTCCTCCTCTCTCTGTATCTGAATGATGCTCTTGTGGCTGTAAAGAAAGCACACGGCTTGCTTCTCGACGTCATTTGGCCATCTTAAGTTTCGCGAGTAATGGAAAATAAGCGGCTCGGTGTTCGATTCTTCCATTCATTCTACTCGATTGAGTAGGACCTTTCTCCAGCCTTGAGACGAATTCCATTAGTACGTCCAGTGACCCTGTTAGACTATGGTCTAAGACCTTACCATCGTAATACAAATATTGTTATGTATTATATGCCCTACCTGTGCGTAATGTTAGTCTCTTAGTGACTGTGTTTTGTTAACGACTGTGTGAGGCAACACTTTATTATTTTCCACATGACATAAAAAGCCTTGAACTATTCTAAAATCGTTTCTGCGTTATGGAAAAGTAAAATTAACAAATATTCTTCAACAAAATAACAGCGAGCGAAATCATGGACGTGAACTTCAGGTACATTTTTCTAAGTCAGAAATCACTAAGCATTGAGGATGTTGCCAATTATTGTATAAATCATCAGTATTTTTGTCACTTTGTTTGATTACTAAAGTAGGATTTGCATAAAACTTTAATTAGGTACATTATTATAACCTTTATTTTGAATCTCATCAACTTGTTTTAACACTCGTGATTGTAAGCTTCCTTGAAAAAACACAGTAAATTTTACAAGGCGAAGGCAACAAAAGAGTCTATATTACAAAAAGTGGTTGTCAATTACAGACCACTAGATATTTGACCATCACATTCTTTCGTGTTCTTGAATAAAATAAAAGCTGCATTAAAACTGTTTTTCAAAAAATAATATGGATTTGATGAACGGAAGTACTAAGGCTTTATTGCAATGGTAAAGCAATGTGATTGGGAAACTGAAAATTCTTCTTGTACTTTAAAGATGTTATATTTATTCTTTTCATGTGAGCACACTAAATGCCCCTCTCACACTTTTTGAGAAAACGATTTTCAAGGTAATAAATAATAATCATAATTATCGTTGTGTTTTTAATACATTTCCAATATCAGATAATTCCTCAAAGGTCTTTACAGTCATATATTACTCTGCTTATATCCCAGTTCCCAAATTTAAACAAGTTAAAAGCATACTGGATACCTAACCGTCTAGCACCTCAATCAGGAGTAGAATATATATGGAGCAATGTCTTTTAAAATATATTTGGTACCTGTCAGAGGTTCGGATCCCAACCTTCAATTTTCTTATGAACCACTGGATCACAAGTGTTTCAAAGAAAGGTGAGTTTGATGGCAGGCATGTGGGTTTGTCAGTACCTCGGTTTTCTAGTTATGATAACATAAAAGGTAGCCCATCCAGTACCGCATTATTTCATTCCCATATGAATACATGATACACCAAGTTACTATGGGCTTTGGGGTAAAATAATGATACAGGTACTCACGTATTGAAAATATGAGTTGATGCGACACATGAATCCTCCGAGTGGCCAGTGTATTCCACCGATAGCGATGACCGTAGGTATGACACACAGTACCAGGAAGGTGATATCTGTGATGGCTAGGTTTGCTACGAAGTAGTTGGTCACTGTCCTCATATCACGATGCTTGACGATGATGTAGAGAACAATAGAGTTACCAGTAAGACCAGTGATAGCGATTAAGATCATCACGATTCGTGGTAGGGTCTTCATCACCATGTCCGCAGTCTCACTCATCTGATAGTAATCAGAGTAATCAGCCTCGGAACCAATGTCCTTCATACAGCTGCTGGACGTGGTATTCAAATCCGAGGTCCCGTTTAAGGATGGGATGCAAGCTAAATCGGCGTCTGAAGGCATGTTTGCAGCGTTAATCATTCATTTGCAGTCAGAATAGAAGAAATAAATACATTGATAGTCCCGAAATTGGCAGGGAAACGGTCATGAGAGCAAGTTGACCATCATTCCAATGTTCAAAGGATAGTTCAATCCAACTATCAATTTTCTTTAGGATTATGCGGAAATAGAAGACTTTTTTGAAAATGTAGGTTCACAGATGTTTGTGGTGAGAGATATGGCTGGAAATGATATTTATATGATGGAATATCATTGTAAATCACTGCTGTGTATTGTTCCAACCTACCATATGACAGCAGCACCACGAGGAAACTTCACTTCTGCTGCAGATACCTGTTTCCACAATATAGAAGAAATATACTCTGCGAAATATTCACCCCTTTCCAAATATCATTTCGATAATAAAAAGTTGATTCCACTGAAGTCCTGTAATTACATGATAGCAGAAAAAAGAAATGCGCTATGTTTCGGCAATGGAGAGTGAGTGGTGAATCACATCTTAGGTAGACAGCAGTAGATCAGTGAATGAGCAAAGTAGAGGAAAACCAAGACTGATCTATCGCTTCAAATCAGCGTGCATGTAGAATTAGGTGCAGAAGGCCTTCGTTCTGTTTGCCGAATGGTCCAGGGTTTTTTCCCCCTCGCCGTTTGATCGGATGCGCTACAAGAGAGGCCAGGGTGTGCGCGTTTGTGCGTTTTTTGTGGTGGTGTATGCATGTTTGCGGAGAACGCTGCTCGCTCTATCACACCAGACAGGCGCACTGCAAAATTGTGATTGATAGTATAGAATCACGGCCCACAGGATTAAACTAGTTAACATTAATTCATTCCACGCTCGAACAGTTATTAGTACTGGATGAATAATTACCGGATTCAAAGTTTAAGTGTTTTTTTTTAAGCATAACAGATTTAAGTCTTCATAGACACTGACAATTTTGTATAAAAATGCTAATATTGGATTGTACATTTATTAACATCTGTTCTCCAACTGCGCTGTATTTTTATTTTGTTGTCACTTATTTTGTGTATTAAGATATTCTTTCTTTCGTCAAAATTCAACAAATGCAACTGCGCAGACATTACCTCTTATGTACGCTGACCACTCACATGTACACTCCACTCTTCAAAGCAGTGTACCTACTTTTGTATTTCATTTTTTATTAATCTTTTTTATTTAAAAAAAAACATCACATAGCATCAACATGAATTATGGCGGATCATATAATAAAGTATATCAAGTTGCCAATATCTACTGCTAAGAGATTTCAAGAGATAACAAGAGATAACAAGAGACAACCAGAGATTAACAACGCTCATCAGAAAGAAGAAAAAGGAAGACAGAGAGCAGGCAACTGGTCAAATGAGAGGGGAAAATTTATTTTTTTTAAAAAAGACATCATTCATGCTTAATGATATTCAGAATACTTGCACATTTAGCAGCGTGGATGACTGATTTGCAAGTACAATGTAATGTTCAAAATATTGAAACGACCACAAAAATTTGCTTATTTATCATCTCAAAAGCATTTTGTTTCAAGAACATGTACACTGTCGACAATTTTGTCTACGTCTTTTATCCATGGTCCTTGGTTTGTGAATAAAAGCAGTTAAATTATACACTGGAGATTAATAAACATTCAATCGTCCAAAATTGCATGCACATAATTACCACCACGTCTGTTTCTTCAATCAGTGTAAGGACAAATTTGAATTGAACAAGGAAAAGGGAAGGTTGTAAGTAAACGTTTACAACCGACACACACACGCACACACATACGCACACACACACACATCCGCACGTACGCACACAAGCGCATACATCCACAGCCTTTCCCCCCTCTCTCTCTCTCTCTCTCTCTCTCTCTCTCCCTTTTCTCTCTTTCTCTCTTGATATTTATATATACTTACAAAGAACGTGCCAACAATTTAGCATCCTATAACGGCGAACGTAAACGACATCACGAATAGCCGAGGCTTGAGACATTACTGTAGTAAGGAGAATTAAAGACCTTGCTCAGAATCACATATATTTCAGCAATCCAAATGGTGATCAAGTGAATATGCTTAAACGTTTTTTATTTTATTTATTACGTTTAAAGTAGGGGTGATTTGATTACGTCCTCTGACCTCCATTAGCATTCGTATTTGTTTCCACTTTTCTTTATACGTATTATTTTGTATTTGTTGTATATGTATATTTCCTTGTTACCTATGTATTTGGTACACTTTCCCGAAACTGCTAATACGTTCAAGCTCTGGATAAAGATGGTGGTCTTCTGCATTTTTTTAATATATACATATTTTTTTTAACTGTGTGTTTTTTGTAAGGTGTAATTATTTAATTGATTTATAATATGATATGATTATATGTGTTCTGACTTTTGTTTATAATATATATGCACATTACATGGTTCGAATTATACATTTTGTTATGTTGAAAAGTGCAAAAAATTAAATCAAACAATAACATGTATTTTCCACATAATCTTGTTCTTCCTCGTTGTCTTAATAATCATAATCCTTATCAGCAGTTTCTCTTTTTCGTTATGTTTTTTTCCTCCATATCATATCATTCGTTTAGGTTGACATTAGCATTAATGTATTTACCTCCTCTTGATAATTTATAACATAATAAACGTTATAATAAATATATATTATACATATATAATTAAACACCATTGTTGTTATCATTGCTATCGGTATAATTGTTTTAATCATTCTTATTATAATGGTTAAGATCATCATTATCGTCATCATCATCAATATAGTTGTGTAATAGTTGTTGTTCTTAACGATTTCAAAAAACTGAGTTGCTTATTTAAATAAAATGAGCACGGAATCAACGAACCTTCATTTCATGTAACTTTAGAGAGCCTTTATCATCATTATAATTATCCTTAAATTCAACATGTTGGTAAATACAAACGATAACACATAAATAGGTTAACGCTTTAAAGAAGCCGTGTCCTATGGGCGATAAGAGAGGAAAAACATGCCTACACACTTCACCCGTTTGCCATGGGATACTATACAAATTATAAGTGGCCATGGGCCTCGATATTTACATTGATGTATTATTGTTTGCAATTTATGAATCATCTCTCTGAGTGGCCTTGCTTGGACATATCAAAACATTTGGCGTGTTTTGGAATATTTGATTACGGTCTTCTGGGAAAAAGATGGAAATTTCCCTTTCAAATGGATCGATGAAAGTAAGTCACCGACATCAATTGATAGCCGGGCGGAATAAGGAATAATTCTTTGTGAAAAACAATCCAGAGCAGGCTAACAAAATATTACGCGTGAAAGATGCAGAAATTTATAGTAATGGTCACCAAAATAATGTATTTAATGAAACGTGAATTTCAAAGAATTTTGTATGCTGACATCAATTTTAACCTAGTTTCCCCGAAAACTCGGTAATTAATTTGTTTAGAATTTACCAGCCACCATACACAATGATAGACCAAATAAAAATTGGTCCGTTAAAGCACCATGTAAACACCCCATTACAGTCCATTTATTTGTATTGACACCTGATCTAAATGACCTTCCACTCCCGATTCTAACTTAGATGTCATGTCAGGTGCTTTGATTGTCTTTTCAACAAAGGCAAGATTGGCTTGTTATTGTTAAACTTATTGCGGACTGATACAGAAAACCTTAATTGGTAATTCAGCCTTCTACCAAGCTTAACATTTAAAGGTAAGGTTTCATCCACAACGTGATTCTTCGCTCGGTTTCTTGCTAACTGCTGCTCCGAATTCGCTGGAGAAAAGATAGGTGATAGTGAAAAGCTAGAGTCAGTGACGGATTAATCCTTTTAATCCAGATGGATTATGTCACCCTTTTTATGTCCAGTATTGAGGGCGTGTTCTGCTCCTTCTAAATGAGAAGGATGCCGCAATCCAAAGGAGGCGAACAAAGCTTGTCTTTTCAAGTTTAAGGTTAATAGAAGAAGAAATTATATACGGGTTTTTCCTTTTTGTCTCCCGAATTGGACCATACATGCTGTAATCAACTTATGGTACGTTTGAAATGTATTTTTTACTGAATGAAAGAAAACAAATTAAGTTTTTTTTTGTTTAATTTTACTATTTTAGGGTTGTTCTTTTTCCAATTTCGTTATTTATTATTTATTTGTTATTGTACACTACCTATAAGCAGTAGGTATCAATAAAATTGGGCATTTTATGTCTTGATTTGGAAAGGAGTTATTTTACAGTTCTATGTATATTGTAGCATTTTCATAAACAATATTACAGTATCAGTGCGGACGCTGTTGTTCGATGAACTGCAGCTGTCCTGTGTGTTGAATGAAATGAGACCATATTGCTCGAAGCTGCTCCACATTGGTGAACTCCCCAGTATAACACCAGCTAAAGCCGAGGTTCGTCTACATCCGTGGCGTATGGGAACATATCCGGGGAGATTGTTTCAGGTTTTCCTGTGCGTTTGTCCTCTATTGCATGTACATGTAGATAACAATCTGACGGATCTCTCAGGGGCAACATCTAATCGCCTCCATCATTATAAGGGGCTAACATGTCTAAGAAATTAACACATTAACTCCCAATGAATCTGGTCTGTTTTCATGTCCGTCAATATAGGTTAGAAAATCGGAAACCACAAGCCCTCCTTGTCAAATGTTATTCGAACTGTAGTGATGCATTCTTTTTTCACTCGTCAAAAACAAGAGAGTACAAGAGATCATTGTATAAAATGTGAGATAACAAAAAAGTATATGTAAACCAAAACAAAAATACAACAACAGTAAACAAACGAACTAAATGTTCTATTTATTCAATAAATCTCATCCCACTGTTTATCAAAGGCTTAAGAAAGGTTGATTGATATGACGACAGGATGTCACCAGCTTTAACAGGTTTAGTACTCTTCATACATCGTCACTGTAATTTTTGTTTTATTGTTTGATATTTTCAATTAATTTCTATTATTCTAATGCGATTTCGTCGTTAAAACAAAGCAGGTACGTTCAAAGAGTCCCTTTACTTCCCGCACATGAGATGAATGTTACCGAATATTTGTTTCAATAGTAGCCTCTTACCGCTATGATTAGCCTCCGAATATTGCTAGACGCAATTAAAAATTATATGTCTTTTCTCATTTCAATTCTTTACGTTGCTTGAATACACAACATTATTGACTGAGAATTGATTTTTAATTCACATCACATGTTACCGTTCCTTTGTGATCTATGTAGGCTGTGGACTTGAATGTTTAATAGCATTCTCAGAGGTAACATCTGAAAAGGGCATTGACTATTAGTTCTATTGATCTGTGTTGGTTTAGGATAAGGGTTTGAGCAAGGTAGGAGTATGGGATCGCATAGGGTTGGGGTCAGGTCAGTATTGAGTAAGAGGTAGGGCTAAGATTAGGTTAGGGGTAAACTTTTCTCTTATCGTCCAAGGGGGAAGCTATCTGGCGAAAGCTTGCTCCCCCCCTCCATTTCCTCCTCTACTGAAGGACAAAAAATAAAGAGAAGAACATGGAGAAAAAAGAATTTTCCCATTTCAGGTTTATCGGTCTCATACCCTCACATAATGTTTGCCTCGTTAAAGATAAACTCCAGTACTGGT